AAGAGCATGGAGCAAAGTAATACAAGTCTGGCAAGAAAACAAATTCCAAACCAGACTGATATACCCTGCAAAACTCTCTTTCAAGTATAATGGAGAAGTGAAATACTTCCATGACAAAGAACAACTTAAGAATTTCATGATGACAAAGCCAAGCCTATAAAGACTACTAAATGATGTTCTAGAGAGGGAGAAAAATGATCATAACTCCATGAAAGAGAATGGAAAGAACTCACCAAATAGGGCAAAGAGGTATATAATAGTAGTCTTTCAGTTACTCTTTTGTGTACAGCAGCAAAATATTTCCATTAGCACACTCTACAAATGGACTTCTCTTCCACCCTATAGGTCATGATTCCATCTGGGTCTACAGGGTGGATTTCAAGGAAATAGCAGTAGCTCAGTCCCACAAGTGACACCTGGCCACTAGTAAGTGTCATGGACATTATCCATGTAAACAACACACTAGAACTTTGTGCAATTAGAAATCTTTGATGACCTTTTATATAAGCGTTCATCTAATATATTTTATATAGTCCTACATAACTATATACAGGACTATATAAACATATATATGCATCCAGAAGCATACTGCAACTCTCTTGCCTTCTGAATTATGCTCTTTGTTATTTCCTATATGCTACATCTGGAGGTATTAGAATATTTCAAGTTTGTATTACTGGAAAATATTTTACTTTTAGTTTGCAAAAGTATGTTTGCTAAGTATAAAATTCAGAGAAGACTGATTTTTTTTTTCTTTCTTTAAATCCTTTAAGCCTAGTTTCTTACACATTTGGTCTTTTTTTTTTCCTTTTGTAATGTGGAATAAGATGCTATTTAATGTTGTTCTTCCCTAGCTAATATTTTTTATGTATATGCTTTAATGATTTTTTTCTTTACAATAAGTTTTGGACAATTTCATTTTTGTGCATCTTGGTATGATTTTATTCAAATTTCTTGTGCAAAAGGTTCATTTTTTTTGGAAATGTAGTGTTATAAGTTCAAGTAAATTCAGAAATTTTAAATTTTTAAATATTTATTGCCCACCCCTTTCTACTTTGAGAATTCTAATTATATGAAGATAAGTTTCTTGATTTTGAAAAAAAAAAAATATTAAGCCAGGCATGGCTATAATCTTAGCTGTTCTGGTGGCTAAAGCAGGAAGATTACAAGTTTGAGACCAGCCTGAACAACTTAGTAAGATCCTATCTTAAAATAAAAATGGATGGAGATGTAGTGCAGTAGTAGAGTGCTTGTCTAATACGTGCAAAGTAGTGGCAGCTTCAATTCTCACTACAAAAAACCAACCAAACAACCAACACCAACCAACCAAACAAACAAACAAAAACCAGAAAGGAAAGAAATGGATTGGACTGGATTCAAGGGAGCTGGACAATCATGTGACATAAGGTTCAATCCCCAGAGCAACAACAACAATGAAGGTTGTTTGATATGTTATGGTAACATAAAGATTATATTAGCAATCTGACAGCTTCAATCAGATGTAAACTGAGCTGAATACTAACCACTGGACTGACAGATCACTGGTAACCATAATGAAATTTTTGTTAAGTAAAAATTGAGACAGAAGCCAGGTTAGAGTAAAGTCAAGGGAGAAGCTGGCAGGGAATATAACGTAGAATTCTTATTCAAAATGTTTTTCTTGTCTAAAATGTTTAAAAATCATGAAGAAATCATCAGACAAACCCTAATTAAGGGATACTCTAGCAGAATTCTTGGCCTCTTCATACATAAACTATAAAAGTTAAAAAAAAGGAAAAAGAAATCAAATATCACACACCATTCTGGATTATAAAGACTAAAACATCTTAATAATCAAAGGCAAGCGGCCTCTTTTCACAGGGTCCTGGGCTAGGCTAGCTGGTACATAGCTTTAACAGCATATATGAAACAATTTGAAAGAAGCTGCATATTAAATAATATTACTATACTGGACGAGATCAGGTGCATTCAGGGTGGTATGGCCTTACTTAAATAATATTACTATATTAATGTCTAATTTCTTAGGTTTGTTATAAGAAAACCCTTTTTTCCTGAGACAAATGTGTATAAATATTTAAAGGTACAGTGATACAATGTACTTGCAAACTACTTTAAAACATTTTTGGGGCCGGGGAGATAGCTCAGTAGGATAAATGCTTGTCTGGCAAGCGCAAGGTCATGAGTTCAATCCCCGGTACCACAAACAAAACAAAAAAAACACACCAAATAAAACCATTTTGGTTAAAAAAGTGTGTGTGGGGGGGGTGTTGGGTAAATATGTATGCATGTGATAAAGATGGTAAAAGAGAAAACACAAAAATTTGATAAAGTATCAACTGGTGAATCTAGGTAAAAGGCACAACATGATGTACTAGGATGTCAAATGAATGCAACATACATCCTCCCCTTCCTGATTTATGTGGCCCTTGGGAGGTGACAGGATAATCTGTACTCTTGTGCTGAGGAGGCAGCCATCAGCTGAGTCTTGTCTCCCACATATGTCAGTGACTGGAAGTGTTAAGTGACCCCTTGTTAACACCCTTCCTTTCTTCCTTCCTTCCTTCCTTCCTTCCTTCCTTCCTTCCTTCCTTCCTTCCTTCCTTTTTTTTTGTTTGTCTGAGACAGGGTTTCACTATGTAGTTTAAGTTGACCTTCAACTTACTATGTAGCCCAGCCTGGCCTCAATTTCTCAACAATCCTGCTGCCTCAGCACCCTGAGTACTAGGATTACAGTCATCTCTGGCCATCCAGTCTTGATTTCTAACAAGCAACCTCTGAATTAGTGATAGTGAAGACACTGTTGGCTGCCAAGTATTTATTTGGCTTTTACTGCGCATCAAACACTATGTTAACATGTATCACCTCACTTAAACCTTTCCAAAATCACAGAACAAACAAACCAGAAGCTCTACCTCTAACCAAAGTCTATGCTTGTTAAACCACCATTACATTCTCTAAGCTCCTTTCTAAGGAGACAACATATTGCTGAGATACTTAGAAATGATAATATTTAGGACTCAGTACACTGGTACATGTTTCTGAGAAATAAAGGTAGAATTTTGCCATTAAAAAAACCCCACAAAAAAACCATGGTGGTGCACGCCTGTAATCCCAGCATTCTGGAGGCTGGGTAGGACAACTGCCATGAGTCTGAGCCAACCTGAGGTACATAATGAGTTCAAGACCAGCCTGAATTATATAACCACACCCTGTCTGGAAGAAAAAAAGACAACAGCGACACTCACATGATAGAATCTACAGTGCCACTTCAAAAATAACCTTGATAGGATATTTAATATGAAGCCCACACTCAAATTCTCCCAGGTTATTCCAAAAAAAGAGATGCATTCAATGAAATAAATTCTATTACCCGTGTTATAAATAATGTGTTTTTAAGGGTATCTCAGTTCTCCCACTTGGGAGTACATGCTAAAAATGAATTCTCTAGGTCACTTGGAGGATGAAATAGCAATAATGGTGAATACTGTTTGCAAACCCAAGTCACTGTGCAACTCCTATACAGGCTGAAAGATTAGAAGGTTGCCTGAGTATTGGTGCTCCAAAACTACAGCAGGTCAGTAACTAACAGCACTGCATGTTTTGTTCAAAGGCAATCCTTAAGTCTCCCAAGGAGGTAATATGAATTTGTAAAATTACACATTTTGCTTTTTAAAAATTACTACTTGCCAAAAAACTTAAAATGAAACAAATGGATGAAATAAAGTTCATCTTTATTTTCAAGTACTAATTATTTCATTTTAAGTGGAAATAAAATGCAGTTAAAAAAAAAAGAAATAAAATGCAGTTTACAAATGTTTTGTTTTTGAATTGGCTCTATGCAGAAAGGTTTCCTGTTCAAGATACTAAAGGCCTCCCAAGCACTGAGCTACATTCCCCAGGCATTCATTCACTCAGTCATTTGAAAGAGGGTCTCACTATGTTGCTAAATTGCTCAAATCCACAATCCTCCTGCCTCAACCCAAAGAATGTCTGCATTAAAGGCACGTGCTATTGCACCTAGCTGAAAAAATTATGTTTCTAAAATTCAAACTGGGTTCTGAAGAACTGGGAGTTTAGTTCAGTGAAAGGGATTGCCCAGAATTTCTTTTTAATTTTTCATTCAGAAGAATTCTCATTATTAAAATTTGCAGCTCCTTAAATTAAGGCTTAAAGGTCACCAGCTATGGAATCTTACCTCTCTCTTCTTTCATCTTAATCACCAACAATATCCCAACTGTGACCTTCCAGACTGACATTTCTTCAGGTTCTGGCTCCCTGTGAGCATCTAGTCACCCTGTACAACCCATGAGTCACCTTCTCTTCCCTTAAACCTATGTTGATCTTCCATTTCATGCTGTTGAACTCTAAATAGATGTCTCCTTTGACTCCTACAGAATTCTATACTCATGTATTTCTAGCATATTTTATCCTGCTGTACAGTGGCCCTTTTAAGGACATATATCCTGTTAACTATCTTTGTTTTCCCAGTGTCTAGCACTGCTCTGGCACTTAGTAGGTGCTTACTAAGTTGATGCTATACTGATTCCTATCTGTACATTGAAGAAAAGAACTTAGCTATTTATTATTCAAACTATTGATTCCCTGAGGGCAAGTTCTGGCCATCAGTTTGGTACTATGTCAAATTTCCCACAGCTACTGATCCTGGGTCATCTTCTGGGCTCACCACCAATGGTGGGACAGAAGCAATTTCTGGATTGTTCCCTAGGTTTTAGATGATTTTAGATGACCTGCATTATAGATGATTCCAAGCACAGGTTTCAGAGAGGGTGAAAATTGAGGGCTTACTATAACACCTGGTGAAGGCAGAGGGGAAGTGCCCTTGAATCCAACTGTTCAACTTCTCCTCGTATAAGTGAGAAGAGAGACTGCAGAGCGAGCCTTGGAGCTTCAGGTTGATCATTAGCATTGACTTCAGCAGTCTCATCAACACCAATGGCATACGTGGCTGCACTCAGTATCTTTTCTTGTATTAAGGATGGATCATCTGAGGAAAGTAAAAAAAATGCCTTCATTAGAATAAATTCCTTTTATGGTGGAAACAACTTTAAAAGAGTCATACTTCTTTTTTTTTTTAATTTTATTTATTTATTTATTTATTTATTAGAGAGAGAGAGAGAGAGAGAGAGAGAGAGAGTGGTGTGTGTGTGTGTGGCCAGCTCAGCCCACCAGGGGGCGGGGCTGGCTGGCATGTGGTGCTGGGGGATTGAACTGCGGTCCCTGATGCTTTGCTAAGCTTGTTCTAAGTAGGTGCTTTAGACCACTGAGCCATCTCTCCAGCCCAAGAGTCATACTTCTTAATCATAAAACTTTTAAATAAAATTCTCTATGAAAAGAGCCCTAGAAACCACGTTATTGTCTTCAGAAAGTTCAGACCATGGTGACATTTTATTGGTGCTATCAACAAATATAAATCATTACTGTAGTTTTTTTATCTTATTTTTTTAAAGAGTGCAAATTAAAATTAAAACAGAAAAAAATTACAAGTGATACAGAATTTGACTTAACAAAGTAATCTAAATTTCACAATATTTGTTGTAATATACAGCACTGTCTTCCAACCAGTTATTCATATTACCAGATATATACATGTAAAATTGGAAGAAAAAAAAGTATTAAGAAATTAAGTAGAAAAAAGTATAAACAATTGAAAAAGGAAATGAAACAAAATGAAGCACTAACTGCTTCTTTCCATACACTAGCAGAAATGCACAGTACAGTTGTCCAGGCCATCCTGCTTACATACATAGATAGATCGTTTTCCCTCACTACCTCTTCTGTATTTCTTAAATCAGTAACTCTTTCCTTTGAATAAGTTAATTCCCTTTTCCCAGTATCTACTGTACCTTTCAGATTCCATTTTTTTCTTTCAGGTTCTCACAATAAGGAGACAACATGATGTTTGCACATAAGAGTCTGATTTTATTTCACTTAAGAGTACACTCTCTAGGGGGCTGGTGAGATAGCTCAGCAGACTAACTGCCTGCTTTGGCAAGTGCAGGGACCAGGGTTCAATCCCTGTTCCTCAGTGCTGGCCCCGCCCCCAGGTGTGCTGAGCTGGAGACTGAGTCCAGGCATGGTGGCACATGCCTGTAATCCCAGCACTGGGGAGGCTGAAAACAGGAGGATCACTACAAGTCCAAGCTGTGCAGTGAGTCCCTGTACCAAATACATAAGTGGGGAAAAAAAAAAAGAACATGTTCTCTAGTTGCATTCAATTACCAAAAGACTGAAATTTATCCTGTTTTATAGCTGAATAACACTCCATTGTGTAAAAATACCACATCTTCTTCATCCACTCCTCAGCTGATAAGCATCTGGGTTGCTTCCAGGCTTTAGCTATGACAAATTGTGTTTCTATAAACATGGTTGTAATATTAAGAAGATAGTCTCAACTCAGTAACTCTTTCCTTTGAATAAGTTAATTCACTTTTCCCAGTATCTACTGGGATTACACATTATTTATTACACAGTATTAATGAAATAAAAGTATAAAGGTTAAAGCTTGACCAAAAACTTGATTCTCCAAAAGGAAAACTAGCTTAGCTCTAATTTGAAGGCCTGGCTTGCCCTAAAGAGAACTGAAGAGGAAGATAAAGGTGATAATCCATGAAACAGGTAAAGTCTTTCTTGAAAAACTGGTCTGGTAACACTAAAACTACTACTGGATCCCAAGACAGTGGTGGGATTCAGATGCCAGAGTTAATAGACAGCAACACATTTTTCCTAATTAAAAGAAGTAATGCAAACTTCTAAAAAAAAAAAAAAGTTTTGAACAAATGTTTGTACAGCCCATGAAATGCACCAAATTTAAAAAACTTAATATGAATTATAATTCATTTTTAATTTTCTGATATCCTTGAGCTTTTTTGTAGTATTGTAGTTTTCAATGTGAAGATCTATAGGATCCTTTACTAGATATTTCATTTTTTTGGATGCTACTGTGAAAGATGTTGTTTCCCTAATTTCTCAGTGAGTTTTGTATACAAGAATGCTATTGATTTTTTTTTCAAAATTTTATTGATAAACAGATAGCAATGAGACAGTTTCAAATCAAATCGAAAGTACAGTTTCAAAAAATTATACACTGCATATATTCTTCTTAGTGGTTAATTGCTGTACAAGATGCGGACTTGAGATCCTATTTACAAACACCATTAG